CTTTGATGCTCTGTTCGTCATCAAAACCGATCCACTGGTCACCGCTCACGGCGTACGGGATCTTCTGGATGTCATTTCTGTACACTTTATAACCACTTTTCAGGTACTGACAGATCTGTCAATTCATGTTTGCTTACATTACCATTTTGTTATCATAATTATTGTCTCGTAATGTTATTACCTCGTTGTAGCCAAGAGTGCCAATGAGTCGAGTGATAGGGCCCGCCTGACCGCCCTTTCCCACAGCCTTAGCGCCGATATCATGTTGATTGGGATCCGCCAAAGTGAATGTGCGTCCGTATAGAGGCATTCCCATAACCTGTTATTATATCGTATATATTAAACATATGGTTAATTAACATTATGCTAATTATTGAATACAATTTTCTTGGGATCAGCTCCCGATTTGAGCCAATAGTCAACAGCGAATTCAATGGTAAACTCTTTGTCCAATTCAACATCACCGGGAAGAGGATGGAGGGGTGCGTTGTGTGCTATCAATGGTATAGCAAAATAATATTTTGTAATTTGATGTATAAATTATAATTACTGTCGAAACCAATGATTACTGACCGGTCTTTTGTTCCCAACCGCCGTGAAAGTCGTATGTCATAATGTTTATGAAATCCAGGTATTGGTTCATCGCTTTGATATCATAGGCCCTATCAATGGTGGGCTTACCGGCGGACACAGCGGCCGACAGTACAAAGCCGTGCGGTTTGAACGCTTCGTGAAGCTCTTTCAATAACGCGATATAATTTGCTTTATCGGTGTCTTTGCCGGGCTTTCGGTCCGCATCGCCCACCGCTTGCATTCCCGGGTATTCCCTTCAATAGGGTTTCAATAGTTATTACATTTCATTATTTCATTCAATGTTTATTTGTTGGTAAATACCAGTCGACGTCCAGACCGTCGAAGTTCTGTTCCGTCAAGAATTTGACCACAGAATCGACGAATGTTTTACGGGAAGCGGCGTTACTGACCATATTTGAGTACTTGTCTGAGCCCTCATTCCAGCCCCCGATGGCGATCATTGTGGTCGCGTGTGGGTTCACTAGACGCAAGTCATTCCACCGCCGGTACATTCCTGACAGGTATAGCACAAGTATGGCATATATTCAATATAATTGCATATCGGGGTCAGTGAGTGAGTGAATGAGTGAATGAGTGAGTGAGTGAGTGAGAGAGAGA